ACTTTCTTTACTGTAAGCTAGAAAAAAAAACATATTTCAGATGATGAACAATGCTGATGATGAGCTTCTCTTTTGAATCATTTTCAATGCATGTATTATTCGAATATTTTTCACATTTTCTTACGTACAGCGCTCCTCGAAATGAACCATTCGGCCAGAACCGGAGTTCATCTCCTTTTTTATCAGAGTTTCCACGTCAGAAAATAGAAAAAATCTGATTTCTATAAATATTTCGTGTCCAGTTAAAAATGCATTGAAATCAAAATAATTGAATAAAAAAGAAATCTGATTTTTTTTCCATTTTGAAAGTAGATTTTAATTGTTTTCAGCCTGTCTCAATCGAATTTTAAGAGAGAGTTCTAATGTACAAAACTGTGTTAATGGATCAAAAGAGACTAAAATGAATTGAAATTAATCTGTGAAACTGTTAACATATATTTCAATCAGAATAAAATAGCATCATTTTAATAGATTTTTTCTGATTTTTTCTTAAAGTTTCCTAGATGGGCTTTGCGTCTTGCAACTGGTCATAACTTGGAATCTCTATTATGCAAACTGTTTGGAAGTTTTATATATCTGATATTAAGAAAAAACAGAATTTATTTGGTTTATTTATATTATTCATCTGCGCACAAACCTAAGCACACTATCAAAAGCATAACCATGTACTAAAATTAACAGTACAACTAAAAATGTTAAATGATCTCACTCTGTGAAATTGATCAGTGGGCTATTTTCTTGTGAAAACTTGTGGTAATGGGAGATAATCCTCAAGAAGTTTGAGTATCTACGAAGAAACATTAGCCATTCTGTTTAATATGCAGTTTGACCTGACTCTAGCATTCTTTCTCAAAACTTTACCATTGTGGGATTTTACTCAACTTATGATTACTGTAATAATTCAATTTTTACAATGTTATTATAAATGATCGTAATGTTTGTGCAGTTTGAATGGGTAGAAATCGTTTTTGTAAAAGAGATATACTTTTAATAGTGCTATTTTGAGTCGGGTCGGGTCGTGTCATCAAAAAGTGGCCTGATTTCGAGATCTGACGTGCAGTACTTTGATAAATCTCAATAAGACATGAATTATTGTTCACGAAACCATCAATTGAGAGTTCTCAATAATTATTGTCGTTGACAACTTGTTTTTCCTTTTGCTTCCATTAGCAATACAATGAGCTGTTGCTGCTTAGAAAAAATATAATCATTGGTTATTATTCTTAGTAATAAAGGGTCATTCTTTGGATTTGTTTTTCTTGTTACTTCTATTCACTAGTTTCTTTTACTTATCAGATATTGATATACACTCTTCAATATCACTAGAAATCGTTTGGTACTGGAAATAGCTATCATGAATTCTGAATTAAATGAGTCAAATCACGACTTCAATCGAATATGGTGGAATCCTTGTGTAGCACTGTCTAGACGCTTTGTCCTTTATATATCTCTCTGTACAGTTATGCTGATTACTCTTGTCATTATTTTCATTGATGGGTCTCAAGACAAATATTACCAAGGCTTTTTGATAACATTCAAGCCGGTACCATTCAATTCGTTTAATACGTCGACAAAACAAGCCAAAAACTTCAACCAAGTATCAGAACGTAGAGATACATCAACAGAAGATCTCAAGCTTAATAAAACACTGCAAGATAGAGCCAAAAATCGCAGCAATCGGTACTATTTCAATGATTTTGAATATTTTCGAATGATTCGAGATGAGTTTCCTGAAACTGAATCTGCTGCAAAACTTGGATATCTTACAGGTATTGTGCCTCTTTTGCCAACAGCATTGGATCATAAAGATGTTTTATTTATTATCATGAGCAGTGTGAGATATATTCATAAAGCTAAGCTTCTCACAGAAACATGGCTGCAATGGTCCCAAGGAAACTTTTTCATCTTTGCTGATGCTGCCAACGCCAGTATTCCTTTGACAACTTTGCCGCAACTTCAAAATAAGCCTTCCAGAGAAGATGCCCAACATCGACAATTGTTGGGGTCACAATGGATAATTAGCAATAAGTCTGATTTGATTAAGAACGTAAAATGGTTTGTGTTTGCAGATGACGATACGTGGATTAATGTACCTGCCCTTCTATCCTATCTTCAATTATTTGATCACCGACTGCTGTTGTCGATTGGGTATATTTGGGACAATATATGGGTACCAGGATGGTCATTCTTCTCTGGAGGTGGCGGTGTTGTGTTTTCTCAAACTGCATTCATGTCAACAATACCTGCAATTTATACGAAAGAATGTCCTTTCCAATCGTGGAATGATGTCACGTTCAAGCACTGTCAAAAACAAAAAGGAGTGACCAAAATTCATTCGGATCGATTCTTTTATGATATGGCTCATGTCATCGGTGGATCTCATAATCTTATGCCCATTTCTTACGTTGGCAAAGTGACATTTCACTACGTTAATAATGCCGCGATTGCTAGAAGAATGACGTGTGACGCCGCTGTTTATTGGAAATGGCCAATAAAAGGATGCGACAATGTTAAGCGAGATGATATGCCCCATCTGCACATTTGACAGCTGGATATTGTCAAAAAGTTGCATGATTTGAAAAAATAAATATTCGACTGATATGTTATTATAAATATACTATAATGATCAAGACAAATTGATAGTTCATCCGAGGTCAATGCAGTCGACTCTCCATTGAAAAACGAAGGAACAGAACGAGAGTTAACGTATGAATGAATGATGATTTTTTTCCTCAGCTGTATTCATAACCTCAGATCCCTTCCACTTCAAAAGTACTAACAGTATTATTGCAGATTTAAAACGCCGACGAAAAACAAATCATTTTTTTCGAACTTCCAAAGAACCAATTATGAGTTTTTTAATAGTTCTATATTGTTCATAGAGTTTGACTTAACATATTCACCATTTGATACAATAATTTGAATAATATCTGTCAATAAAAGATTCAACAGGGCTAAAGCAAACCTATCTATTTACTGGGTAGTTTTCGAACTTTCATTTATTTACGTCAATCTGCAGAAGTTCACATGCTATTCTTTGTTCAGTCTAAGCCGAATCTTAATCAGAAAAGACTCAACGCAATGATGCATTTTTCTGTTTTTAATTATTTTCTTGAAATACTAGAATGAAAAGACGGTAAAAAAAAGTTGGCTACATGAACGTCAAGTAGAAAAATTAACGTCAATCTTGTTGAATCTGATATTGGCTGGGGTGTCCTACCACAGATCGCGTGCTCTTATGATTCCTCTGACTGATGAAAAGAAGCCATGAAATTTTAATGCAAATGTATACTACTATTGTGTAATTTTCGATGATTTTTCACTAATTCCAGACGTTTTCTAGTAAGATGGAATCGGCATTTAAAAAGGGAAAAAGAATTCCCCTGAAAAAATGGAAATAGACTTACTATCCGTTTCAAAAAAGAATGCGCGCGATTGCAAGTTGAATAACTCGAGAACACAAACAGCTAGCGACCTGCGGTCTTCACCATTAGAAAGAGAAGATCGGGGCACGTAGTCGTATGTAAAAAGAAAAATTTTCAAAAAGGTCTGAGAGGGTTCCAGGCAAATCTTTGAAAAAGTAGCTTGCCAAAGGCGGAAGACGTGATGGATTTTTCGCTTCAATCAGTGCATTCTATTCGCAAGAGTCTTCTCTACAGTTCTACGCAAATCGCAGGTTTCTACGACATTGCATTCAAATGCTACAGTTCATACAGCAAAACCTGTGAAAAACCAGGTTTCCTGTCCGAAAAGCATGCTTTCATGCTCGATGTAAGCTGTAAAGTGATCATTTCACAGGTTTTCGACCTCGCTGATCATCGTGGCAATGTTTGCTTCGTTGTACAAGAAACTTTTTTTCATTCGGTTCTCGGAATTGGCTACACTTTCGGATTGTTTTCAGTCTATTTTGCCGCCAATTACACTTTAATGGATGGAAAAAGAAAGAACGAAAAAACAACGAAGAAAACCTAGAAAAATAATGAGAAGAAAAATGCCAATAAAAAAATGGCGAAATGGAAAAACATCGAAAGGAAACACATCGAATGTGTACAATAAAATGAGTGGTGATATCGATATTAATGAACTTCTCCATGGGTTAACGTATACAGTTGCTAAATTCTTGCATCGAAAACAATCAATCATCATCATTATCTTATGTTTATTGACATTTTATCTGAATGTATCTTATGAATTTTCCTATTTTTTTTACTCAATAATTATTTTTTCGATGCTGTAGATTATTATAATGAAAATAAATTCATTTTTTGAGTTCGAGATTTTTTCTTTTCGATATTTCTTTTTCCAACGATTTTCTTTTGGCATTTCTCCTTTTGACATTTTTTCTTTCCTTTTTTCATCATACCGGCTAATTGATACATAGCGCATTCATATCTTGTATAATTTCTGCATATATATGAGAAGGCGAATATTTTGTTTGTGAAATATTCAATCGTTCATTATGCCAAAAGGAGAAGACTATTCTATCAAAAAGAAAGAGATATTTTTTCGTGTGATCGACTTCATTGAAAAAGAGAAGACAGGTCCGATCATCCCGCTCCATAAGATGACCGCTCGTCTGCTCGCCATGCTGAACATTAGTGAACGTACACTGTTCAACCTCAAGAAAGAATTTACTGATCAACGTGAAAAAGAAGTCGTGCGTACTCGTGGTTGAACACTTTCCAGCATCGAACCAAAACGCATTCATCGCAAGCGTCGCTGGTCAGCCGTCGCATCCATCTCGTCATCTGTTGTTCCGGCTCCCTTGCCATCACGCAAGAAGAGAAATTCTGGACGATCATCAATCTACTTAAGCGAAATAAGTGAAAGCACGATTCGGTATCATTTTCACCTTCTTCTAGTGAGTAGTCAAACTCTCATATATCTTCAATTCTTATTCTTATTGTTTCCAGGCGGAGAAAATATATCCTGCAGTTGCTAACTTGCTACAGCACATTCTTGATGCGCATGATGATTTTCCTATAAAATCGAAAACTACACTCTGACGTCATATGAAGCGGATTGGATTTGCCTACAAGCAAATCAGCAAAGTTACTGTACCGCTCGACTTCATCTCATTTATTGCTCAACGCGCTGTCTATTTTCGATATCTCGATGATTTGCGACATAGTGGTGCCCTTATTTACTATCACGACGAGACATGGTGTAATGTTGGCGAAGAGAAGCGTTCTATCTGGCTCGACGAGAATGGTGTGGGACGTCTTCGGAAGACTGACGGCAAGGGCAAACGACTGGCTATCTCAGGCATGATCAACGAGACCGGTTTCCACAAAGAATCTATCGAGATCTTCACCTGCGACGACGATCACTCTATGAACTCAGCCCACTTCATTGACTGGATCGACAGAGCTGCTTCTCAACTTCGCCTCCTTCACGGCCCCACACCTCGTATCGCCATCATCATCGACAACGCAACATGGCACAATGAACTCGTCGACGACGCCAAGCCATCAAAGCGTTCGTGGCGTAAAGATCAGCTCCAGGAATGGCTCGAAAATCATAACATCACATATGACACCAAATTAAAGAAAGCCGAGCTGATGAAAATCGCCTTCGCCCATATTCCTCCAAAGCGCTATAAAACCAATGTCGCGGCCAATGCGCACAACGTTGAGCTCGTCCGTCTTCCCATCAAGCACTGCGTTCTCAATCCCATCGAATTGGCTTGGGCTCAGCTGAAAAACTATATTCGCTTACAGAACACTAACTTTCGACTCAGCGATATTCGGTCCTTGTCCGAAGAATACATTGCTGCTCTGGATGATGAGACCAGTCGTCGATTCATCGACCATGCCCGGAAGGCCGAAGAAAAATTTCGTACTGCTGACGATTTTGTCGAACAAGATATCGAACCACATTTGATGAGCGAAAACGAACAAGTTAAATCTGAAGTCGATATCAACTCAGACAACGAAGAAGATAATGACTTTTGAATGAATACTTGTACATTTTTTCTGTAAATAAAGATTACTTAGGTTTCTTTACAACTTGATATCTTACCTCATGGATCGATCACTGCACGCAGATATCACAAACTACGTCAACGGTTCGAAAACGAAAAATTTTAGTTAGAGTCAAGGTTAGAAGTCTAAAACAATCCGAAAATGTAGCCAATTCCGAGAACCGAATGAAAAAAAGTTTCTTATACAACAAAGCAAACATTGCCACGATGATCAGCGAGGTCGAAAACCTATGAAATGATCACTTTACAGCTTACATCGAGCATGAAAGCATGCTTTCCGGGCAGGAAACCTGGTTTTTCACAGGTTTTGCTGTATGAACTGTAGCATTTGAATGCAATGTCGTAGAAACCTGCGATTTGCGTAGAACTATTGAGAAGACTCTTGCGGATAGAATGCACTGATTGAAGCGAAAAATCCATCACGTCTTTCGCCTTTGGCAAGCTACTTTTTCAAAGATTTGCCTGGAACCCCCTCAGACCTTTTTGAAAATTTTTCTTTTTACATACGACTACGTGCCCCGATCTTCTCTTTCTAATGGTGAAAACCGCAGGTCGCTAGCTGTTTGTATTCTCGAGTTATTCAACCCGCAATCGCGCGCATTCTTTTTTGAAACGGATAGTAGTCATATTGTATTGAAAAGATCAGCAAAAACAAATTTGATGTGCCAGTGTGGGTGTATGTCAGTTCTCTTCCCACTCAAATCCATCAGATACCCTTGAACACCGATCGATTGGTGCCTTTCCTATTCAATTTAATATGATAATTACAGTATGACAACAGTTTCCCAAACGTATGTAGTCGAAACATCTGAGTGAATAGAGTTGATCCAATCCAAGTAGACAAAAATTTGGAAAAACGCATTTAAACGCTCCAAATGGAACTGCGATTGTGAGCCATTAACGTTGATTAAAAAGTTGCAACAAATGCGTTTATTTGCACAAAATGTTCACTTTCATAGCGTGAAAACCGCGAAAAACTCCAGTTTTTGAGCGCTACAATGTGCTTTTATTCTAAAATATAAAAACAATGCACTTTAACGCTCAAAAACTGGTGTTATTTGTCATTTTTTCACTATGAAAGTAAAAAATTTGCGCAAACAAACTCGTTTTTTCCAAACTTTTGTCTGCTTGGGGAAAAATCTGACACGAAAATGGCTGAAGACTTTAGAAACCACATTTCTACAAAAAAAGAAGATTGTTTCGGCAAACTAGCAAGAACAACATCGAAAACAACCAGAGCGAAAATAACCGCCTGTTAGTGTCTGCATACAAGATGCAGTCAATCGACTACAACAGCTTTCTCGGGAGTCGATATATTGTTCAAGAATTTCTCTCATACGAATCTTGCCGTTCAGTATCTGGAAATGGCCAGGATATATTTGATCAGTTTCATGCTCTTGTAACCAATCTAGCATACGATTCGCACTTCGAAGATAATCTCGTACGGAAGAAGTTGGTAGCCAATCAAGTAGATTACTCCCATGACCACATTCATAGATGAAGTCTCCGGTGAATAATGCTTTCTCCTTCGGATAATAACGGACAATGCTTCCTGGCGTATGACCAGGCATATGTAGTATTATAACTTCGTCCCCACCACCTGGAATCAAAATTTATCAGATTCTCTAGATAACAGTGAATGAAAATGATTCCTTACCTAAATCAATTCGATGTCCATCCATGATGGGATCACATTTTGTCGCCGGTAGCCGATATTGATGTGAGGAAAACCCTTGATAAGGTTGTTGAAAAAAATGCGTTGGTTGTACATAATTCAATGTTTCTACTTGTCGACCGTTTCGTAGACCATTATAATCATCTTGATGAATCCATATTTTACTTTTATTCTCGAAATGTTGTGCTCCACCGCAATGATCAAAATAAGTATGTGTACACAGAATAATACACTCACGATCTTGAATAAGTAAATGTAGATTTTCCAAATGCTTCTTCAAATTACAAACGCCTAAACCACAATCAATGATTAGATCACGTGCAGTACCACGTAGGAGCCAAATATTTGATCGATTGCTTTGAAAGAAGTGGTCTTCAGTAGTTAAGAATAAATATGAGCTAATTTTCTTCGTAGTAAACCATGACGGATGACTGAGGAGTTCAGTCATGAGAATAGGAATGAAACTGCAAATAAATGACTCATCCAACAACAAGCAAGAATCACTATACGATAGGATGGCAAGTGACCAATACTAATCGACTGTTATTTATATAAAACAAGTAGGCCTGAAAGATATGATACGAAAATATTTTGCATAGAATCAGAAAAACGATTAGCTATTCCTTGGAATGAGATACGTAGATATTCTATTTGGATAGTTACCATTCAATCCCTTAGATGGTGCTGTAAGTTTAAAAATTTTGATAAGACATTCAGAACCTTCGAGTAGTTCCGGTGGACAGAAAAATCTCTATTTTGAACGTGATCTTGTTCATATACAAACGGACATCGACAATGATGAAGAAATGCTTTCAGACATACATATCGCTCATTTTTTTAGTATGAAAAGAAGCTGAAAAGAAAAAACTATGGATTTTATCTATCGAACTTCATTGTAAGATATGTGGAAAGCTCCGCCTTTTATCGTGAGTTATTAACAATTGAAATAGAAGCCTTTAAGTCTTTTTCCTTAGAACGCTGTAATCTGACAAATCTGGTTTTGTGTTTAGCTTCGATCTGCATAAGGTGTCTTAGTTTGAAGGTAAATTAGTGATGCCACTGATAATTTTCAATTAACTAGTGACATCCGCAAATTTCTTCCACTCAACATTGTCATTCTCAGATGGATCAATGGTATAGAAAAATAATGCAAAAGAAGCTTTTTCCTGAGTTTCTATATTCTTATGAATGAAGTGAACTTCCACTGAAAATTCTTGTCCATCAACATCATGTTTGGAGCCATACCTATCATTATTATTCTAGTGTAAGTGTAAATTAACGAAATGAAATTTTCGGGTCTACGGAAATTGGTCGACGCGAAAAGGAGTCGAAAATTTTGTAACAAAAGAATAAAAGCTTTTTCTGAAACAGAAGCTCGAAGTTTGAAGTGTACAGGCGAAATAAACACTAATTATATTAATATGCTACCCTAGTGAATGTACTCACCAAGAGAGTACTCAAAAAGTACTCACGCTAGAAAATGCCGCGAGAACTCATGAGTACTCGGGGGTTTGAGTACTCAT